TCGGAGGTGAATTTAGTATAAGCAAAGTCCATCATTGGATCATCTCGAATTGGAAGTGACTCTAACTGGATGTTATTCTGATCATGCGTGAGGATTGGAGGCTTGGGCGCGGATGTAGTGTATAACTCTGATTCAAGCATTGGGTTCGGCTTCATGATCTGGTTCTAGTTCTGGTTCATGATACGGACTCTGAACTCCACTTTTTGAACTTTTCTTGAGGAAATTGGATTAACATCTCAGTTACTTTAGTTTGATGAGGTCACAAGTTGTATGCTCTAATAATTGAGTTGGACTCCAATGTAGGTCTTTTCGGCTCTTGCTCATGATGCAACTCTAACTTAAGGACGTGCTTTGGTTTTGACATAGGTCTAGACTCTAGACATGAATCCGACTATTAGGAAGATTTAAAGGTCAATTTCAAATTTGGTTGAAAAGTTCTCATTTGACAAAAAGGCTAGTTAGGATAGATTAGTTTGTTGGACATTATTAATTAGGTTTAAATTTTAAATAAGAGTTCTATTTGCATTTAAAATTTTCCAAGATAGGATTACTTGAAATTCAACTCGCGTTAGGATTGAAAAAATATGTATTTTAGTTTTAGAGCTTGATACCTTGATCTGTATCAAGCATTAATTTTGTGCTTGATAGTGAGGTGACATAATTCACTTCACTCATTCAAATGGGGGATCACATTCACATGGGTTGAGGAGTGCATAGAGATATGCAACCATTTGAATGAGTGAAGGGGGATGTGACACCTCATTACCAAGCATAACTTTATACTTGGTACCAAACATACCCATTTTTCTCACATACATTGTAGAGGCTAGGAAATTTATGAAAGCTTGAGAAAAGTTCAGCATGTGATTTGTTATGGGACATGTGATTTGCCAAGGCGTGAATCCATTGATTCATAGGTTAAGATGTTGTGACTGAATCTGGTTTAACACAATCTATCTTTTTTATTTCTATTTATTTATCTTATTTACAACCTTAGATCCTCTTAGTTACTTCCTAGCTGCACAAATTAAGCACTTCCGAAAGAGAAAAGAAAATGAAGCAATTACAATAAACACAATTCTTGAAATAATAACTAAAGTTCACTTACAGAAAAGAAAACTGAAGTCCACTTATTTTATCCTTCTCTATTTCCTATAGTCCTAGTACCTCTCTTCTTCTCTAATGCCCACAAACGGACAGCCATAAAGTGGCATGTTCGTTCGCTACTACGATCCTAGAGAATTGTTGAAACCAACCAAACTGCCACAAAGCACTTATAAACTAGAAAAAAATGACAGTCCTCTTTCCTTCCTTGTTGTACCCACCCTTTCCCCCTAACATGTACGTGATCATGTCTTGTTGAGGGTCGAGCAAATTAGGTACAATTGATTTGAACCTTTAGATTCTGAAAAATAAGGATCGTTATCCTAGGAGTTATTATTGGAATGTTGCCAGAAGTCTTCCTTGGTTTTATCAAATGCTTTATAATGTGCTAACACTTGGAGACATTCTAGCTACTTTTTTTTATTAAAGATGGTTAATTATCATGAATCTGTTGTAATGTTGATTGTATATTTTTTTATCGTCATCTAGGCCTTCTCAACTAAACATAAATGAGGTTACCAATGGAGTATAAATCCCTGGTAAGCATTGTTTTAAATATCCCCGATATGGCCCGATATATCCCCCGATATATCCTTTTACCGGGCTTGCCGCAACCGATATGGTCTTTAAATATCCTTTACCGTTTTTTGGCTATTTTGAGTGATAAATCCCCGATATGACCGATATATTAGCCGATATGTGGACCAATATATCTTTTTATATAGCTTGTTGTAAAATAATATACCGCGTTTGGAATTTTTGGATGAGATATCAAGATTTTCCCATTATATCAAATGATATTTTGCCCTAAAACAAGCAGATCGAATGGTGCAACGTTGCTTTACACTTTTGTTTATTTTAGAAGGTTGATTAGTGATCCTAAACATATATTATTCATTTGCAACGTTGCTTTACACTTTTGTTTATTTTAGAAGGTTGATTAGTGATCCTAAACATATATTATTCATATTTTGTATGCTTAAATTTTATTACATATATTGAGATTATATTTTAATGCATTATACTATGTATGCAAACATTCATTATGGCATTTCGATATTTACCACATCCCCGATATTTTCCCAATATCCACAATCCGATATGAATTTTGGTCATCCGATATTTCTCCGATATCCGATATTTAAAACCTTGCTGGTAAGAAGGGTCCATCAATGTTTTAAAAGCCTCCGCCTAGCCCAATCGCTTCCTCCGCCTAGCCCACTCGCTTAGGCCTAGGCGGTACATAGGCCGCCCACGAAGTGCGTAGTGTTTAAGCAGTACATAGGCTACCCACCTAGGTTTTGGTAGTGCTTAGAGGAGTGTGGTTTGCCTACGTGGATTGCATCTTTTAGGTCTTGATCGTGATTTCGTCCATTACAGTCTCTACATCCTCTTACCTCCTACAACCTCTAACTATGGACACCTACTCTACCTCCTTCAACCTTTAGCAAAACCTCCACCGCCAATTAAAAACAAAGAAAGAAATCTGCCTAGACACCAGTTTGGAACCTAAGCTTTTATAACATTGGCATATACTATCAATTGTTGTAATTAATAATAAAAAAAGAACCCCGCCTAGGCTTTTACGTGTTGGGTCCAACGTCTAGACCACTTAGTGCTTTCTGTGACATTCGTGTCCATTATCATCTAATCAAATTAGTATTGTTCTACAATATAGTTGTCGTGTGCGATGTGAGTCATTTTTATGCAGGCTAGTATATCTCACCCAAATAGCTGGAATTACATTAGCAAATATCGGAAACGGGACATTCTTGTTAACAAATATTAATGTTTTTGTTCACTTTGTATTAGGCTAAGAGCATGTTTTTTGGTAAATGGCTAAAGTGGCTTATAAGCTACTTTTGTTTCTTATAAGCCACTTTGAGATGTTTGGCAAGTGGCTTATTTGGCTTATAACTCATCAAAAATAGCTTATTTTCTGGTGGATTATATGCCATATAGTTCAACCAAGTAATAGACAATTATGCATTTTATGATTTCACAAAATTTAAGGCCTTATTTAATAACTCACCACCAGTCCCATGTCTTTTTTGGCCATTTTGACAACATTGATGGATTACAAAATCCATCCATGCGCTAAACATTTTACTACTAAAAATGGACTATAATCCACTAAATTTACCGAGCAATTTAGATTATAATTTGTTAGGGTTATAATCTATGTTACCTGAATACTTTTATCATAAACCCGTACTCATACCGGACACGTGCTCGACACGTGTCCGTACCCAAACTCCACGGACACTCATTAGATATATGCATACATTTATTAAGACATATACTCAATTATACAATATATATTTTAATTTAGAACACTTGTCATACACTTCTTGGACTAACATCCTTCACAATATTTCATGAAACTTTGGACATTGGTCAGGTTCATTTCAGTCCATACCCAAGTTGAAAATTATGATTTTAAACGGTCGTCTAGGTGCCTAGTTCGAAATTGAGCAATTTCCAATTTATAATAATCGACATAATCAAAGAAACTTAAAATGTGCTAGAAATTTTAATTCTAACAACAAATGAAATGAACTGAAAAACAACAATGATCTCATGTAAATTATCAATTTATATAATATATATATATATATATACTATCTAGAATATATATATATAATATATATATATTATATATATATATATGAGCAATTTTCAACTTATCAATAATCGACATAATAAAGAAACTCTAAAAATGTGCCTAGAAATTTTAATTCTAACAAATGAATGAAAAACAACAAATGATTGCATCGTAAATTATCAATTTGTATATTATATATATATATTATAATTATATAGTATATATATACTATATTAATAATAAGAGATTAAATGGGTATCCTTGTCATAGGAGGGATTTTCCTTTGTTGCCTATGTGACATAATCCAAACCATCCCATAAAGAGACACAAATCGCCGCACCGAACTCACACTCTCCTACGTTAATGAGGATGGTGGGATTGCTGCCACATGGCTCAAGGAGGAAATCCCTCCATGACAAGGATACCCATTTAATCTCATATATATATATATATATATATATAATGAATATATATATATAATAATATATATATATATTATATATATATATATAATTATATAACATGTCCCCGTAACCTTACAATTTTACCTATGTTACCCGGGTACTTCTATAATGAAGCCGTACCCTTACCGGACACGTACCCGACACTTTCCCGTACCCAAACTTCATGGACACTTCTTGAATATATGCATGCATTTATTACAGCATATACTCAATTATACGATATATGTGTTAATTTAAAACACTTGTCAAAGACTTCCTGGACGTAGAGCTTACACTTCATATCCGTCTTTTGAAACTAACGAGATATGGGTGGGATTCGTTTCAGTCCATACCCAAGTTTAAAACTATATAGTTAATGGGTCGTTTAGATGTCTAGTAAAAAAATAAGTAGTTTACAATTCACGATAATCAATATAATAAAAGAAACTCAAAAATGTGATCGAAATTTTAATTCTAATGACACATGAAGGGGAAAAATTTATCTTATGTACAGTATTAATTCAATATATATATGTAGTCGTGTCCCCGTACCTTACATTTTACAGTTTCGCTGTGTCCCGTACCCGCACCCGCACCCGTACTAGTACCCGTTCCCGTTTCCATGCAACTTAGAATTTTACAAATTTGCTGTATCCTGCATCTGTACCGGTACTCGTACCCGTTTCCATTCAACTTGGTTATTATAATCCACAAGTTTCCCGAACATTCTCTGACTGAGAGTTTTCTCTACCTTATGCTTATATTTACTGCTTTTTTCCTTTCTCTATGAACTTAAAAATTGTAATTTCCATTTCCGACATATTTTTCCTCTATTTATTGTTTTGTAG